CACGTTACCTTTTAACCAACATAAGTAACCAAAATGGTCCAAATATATGGAGAAAATATGGTTACATTAACATTGCCATGTCATTGGACCTGGCCACCTCTGGTCCAACGTTGCATAAAAAGGGACCACTTCTGGTCCACTGCTGTATAACATGGGAGCACCTAGACAACTTCTCCTTTTGGACCATGGCACATTCCGAAACCGAATCATATTGCCAATGGGCAACGAAGAGGTGGTGTTCAACACATATATCACTTTCTACGTTTGAAGTGGTCCAGGTCAGCATAACAAGTTATAGTATGCAATTTGGTCCTCTTGCACATACTTAAAAGCTACGATCCAGTGGACCACCTGCTCTTTATATTTTTGCAGGGAAATTAGGTGCTTGAACGTGTGCTATTATGTATGCACATATGTCATACATTTCTACATTCGTATTCACAAAATGTGGTGGGTGCATAAAATGAGGAGCATTGCTGGCACCTTGAGCGGATAAGGAAATGTAGTGGTTGTGCACCACTGCCGTTACAGTCGTCTATCAGACAGCCGATAAAGTTTTTGAGGTAATGCCACTAAAATTTTCATGCAGTGCTGCGTAACTTGTTTTTTATTAACAAATACTAGAGAGAATCGGTGGAAATTAATTAAAAAACAACATTTCTTGCTTAATTCAAAAGGTTGGCGAAAAAAGCAAGTCTAATTTTTTTTACGAATTTTAAGTATGCGTAATAAACTTCACTTTAATAACTTTACAAAAAGGCTGGTCGTCTCCTCCGCCGCTCCGTATAGATTACATCTTTACTTAAAACTATAATATGAAGTGATTTGAAATTTGAGCTCCCCGAATAGCGGGTGAGCCGACCTAAAGCTGTATTGTCAAATACATTGTAGATATCGATGTATACATATACTTTTATGTTGCAGCAAAATTTCATTCATTTTATAGAAGTCATCAAGTTTCCCGTTTTACTTATTTAATTTTCAGCGTTAATAAAATTGCGGTTAACCACGCGAATCCAATTTAGGCACAGCTTTAATTTTCCTTTGATAAATTGCGGTGCAAGTTGGTAGCAGCGAGAAAATAAGAAAATATGAATTCAAATAAATTGTTAATGTACGTTAATTTCTAGGAATTTAGCGAATTTCCGGCAAAGTGCAATTTGGATGTGTTGTGGTTTAAAAATACATATTTATTTCTGTGCTTTCAAAGAAATCGTAAGCTACATTTTTTTTATACCTTTCATGAGCATGAAATCGTATTATAACTTTGGTCCAATGTTTGTAAGTACCAGAATAAAAAGAGATAGACCCATTAAAATGTATACTTATATGATCAGAACGTCGAGCTGAGTTGATTTAGCCATGTCCGTCTGTCCGTCTGTTTGTATGCAATCTAGTCTCTCAGTTTTCGAGATATCCGGATCAAATTTGGTAGGTGGGTGTATTTTTATAATGTATTAATCATTTGTCGGAACCGGAAGAATCGGACCACTATAACATATAGCTCCCATACAACTGATTGTTCAGATATGAGATTTTTCGCTATAACTTCTCCATTTATGCAGCTAGAAACATAAAATTTTGCAATACTTGCACCCATTATCAACAGAATACTTACAGTGAAAATTACAAAGATCGGGTCACTATAACCTATAGCTCCCATACAACTGATTGTTCAGATATGAGATTTTTCGTTATAATTCATCCATTTATGTAGCTAGGACCATGAAATTTCGCGCTGTTTTCACTCATTATCAACAGAAGACTTACAGCGAAAATAACAAAGATCGGGTCACTATAACCTGCAGCCCCCATACAACTGATTGTTCAGATATGAGGTCTTTTATCATAACTCGTCCATTTATGCAGCTAGGAACATGCAATTTCGCACCATTTTCACTCATTATTAACAGAATACTTACAGTGAAAATAACAAGGATCGGGTGACTATAACATATATGTATCTTCCATACATCTGATTGTTCAGATATGGGATTTTACTGTAAAACCCCTTTATTTGAACAGCTAAAACCGATAAATTTCGTAAGATATTTTTTATAAATAATAATACAAAGTCTACTGAGAAAATCGTCAAAATCTGTGCTGTATAAGCTTTATCTCCTATACCACTGATTGTTCAGATACCAGTTTTTGCGATATATCTCCTTTATGTAGGAAACTAAACCCAGTAAATTGTGTTACCGGTTTACATACGCATCATATAGCAGTGAAAATCACTTAGATTGGTGCTAATATAAGGTACATCTTCCATACCTCTGATTGTTTAGATGCGATTTTTTATATAAGTATGTAACTCCTCTATCGATGTATGCAGATGTATTCAAAAGCAGTAATCTGTCAAAGTAAAATTTGCAGATGTTCATGAAAGGTATGAAGCCTTCGGCATAGCGGAAGACAGCGCTGTTCTTACTTGTTTCTTTTTGATGCAGAAATATTCCTTGAGCATCTAGATGCATTTCTGCATCAAAAAGAGAATTAAAAAAAATGTTTCTTACGTTATTTTGGCGGTTAGGGCTCGATGTATGATTTACGTAGGTTGCCTTTAAAAAATCTTCTATGAATTCACAAAAGATGCCTAAGTTAAAGAAATTTTGTCGAGGTGCTTCCATAATCTCGTATCATAATGTCATGTAAAACAAGTAAAACTACCTCTATTATGGCTAAGGGCTTGCTCTTTCAAATTGGCCTAATTTAAATGTGTACGACAATTAAGAAAAAAAAGTAATTTTTAAGCAAAAACAAAACCGACTTCAATTCTCATATAAAAATTTAAGATTATTCTTAATTTCTTCACGCTCTAATTATCGGATCTAAACAAAATTAATATGGGACCACCCTTGAGGTACCACCTCACCGACGAAAAAAGAAATCTCGAAATCGGTTAACGTGGTCCAAAGTTATGCGGTCGGTTAAAAAAAACTACAAACATGAGAACTTGCTATGCATGATACAATAATTTTTAGAAGGTAGTTTCATTTTAAAATTTTTGAGATAAACCGTGTCTGTGACAAACACGTAATTAGGTCAGTGCTGCGATATTCGACTTGGGGATTTTCGTTTATAATTTTAGATATTTTTTAGCAGGACATATAAATATTTATATATTTCAAAACTGATCACTTCATTTTTAATATACATATACATATTTAACATACACATACATACATTCTTGCCAGTGCTAACCCTGCAGGGAAAACGCGGACTAGTGAACCAAATTTCTAGTTCCGTACTAGGTCTTTATCGCCAAAAAGGAACTAGTCCAGTTTTTTTTCACTAGAAATCGATATCTAAAGTAATGAATTTAGAAATGGTTCGGAACTATAGAAAAAGGGATGCTGAACGAACTAGATCTTATTTGTCGAATTTAGAACAAGTTCGGAACTATCGAATAAGGGATGCAGCGGGGGGCTTGTTTACTTTACATAGATATGTGTTCGGCGGCTTTTTCGTTCAAATACGCTTCTATTCTGCGCTTCGCAGATGCTGTTTCATAGCTTGGTAATACAAAACTAAAATTTGCGTTAACATTTCAACATCTTGGGACCATCTGGAATCTAAGAAATAACCGCGGGCACCTCTGCAAACTCAGCTACAGCTAAAGGTATGTAAACGTACATTTCTTACAATCATTCAAACAAATTTAATTTCAAATTGAAAACACATTTCTTCCAAAATAACTTAAAATCGCACACACGGAAGAACCATAAAGATGGAAAAATTATGATACTTTTTTCTTTCGTCTGTCGATTTCAGAACTGGAACAGAATTTAGAACTAGTTCGGAATTATCGAAAAAAGGATGCAGCGGGCGGTAATTGACACTTCCTAGGACATCGCCATGTTAAATTCGCCAGCTGCTTGCATGCAAAAGAGATTTATCGCGAACCAGTACTGGGTCTAAATGTACTAGAAGCGCACCAGTTCAGAACTAGAGATTTTCCCCACAGGGAATCACATGAATAAAAACCATATAAAATGCGGCGGCGATATTTCTTGTTTAAAATGCTTTAAACCCATCGCACACTACAGACTTTATCGGCCGAAGGTTTTGTTGGTCTCGCCAGTCTTTCCGTTACACCACAACTATTTAGTCGAAGCGATTAAGTTGGTGTATTGACCGCAACTCCATACATCTGCATATACATATTTTAAGCGAGCCCCGATAAAGTCTATGGTGTGCGTTGGCTCTTATAGCCGGGTGGTGCAACATCCACGGAAGCAGTAGTTAATTTTTTCAGCATTTTTTACGAAGAAAATTATTAAATATTTTTTGCATATTTCTCTAGTAATACATACATATGAATGTTTGGCTTTGCTTTGTTTTATTTTTCCCACGTCAAAAGCTGGATTACGTTTTTGAAAAGGTTGGTACCACAAAAAATTCGAAACACGATTTCTGTCAGATAGCTTACATGGCGGATAAGAAAAAGTGAAAATACCTTCTAAAAATTATTGTATCATGTTTGCTATGTATAGTACTTACATTCGTAATTATCAATATTTATATCAACAACTTAAAAGCTCTCATTTAACAAATACATAATATATTGTATATCGATGGCTGTGTGGAAGATTGACCTATCTCGGCAGCCAGTTCCAAAACGCCCAATCTCAGAAAATTTTTCAACAACGCCCTGTTTCAGAATTTAGTTGAAGAACGCTCTATCTCGGAATTCGTTTCAATAACACCATATCTCAGCTCATTTTCAATGTATTTTCGATTGAGATGGGTTCGTTTTTGAACCGAATTGTGAGATAGGACGTTCTTCAACCAAATTCTGAAATAGGGCGTTGTTGAAAAATTTTCTGAGATAGGGCCTTCTTCAATCAAATTCTGAAGTAGGGAGTTCTTGAAAAGTTTTCTGAGTTAGGGCGAACTGGCTGCCGACATAGGTCGATTTTCTACTCAGCCATCGATATGTAGATGTATGTACTAATACTATATACTAATAAGTGTTTGTATCATTGTCTAACTTTCAGATATTTTACTTTGGATAATAAGCAGTTCATCCTCAAGATGTCACTTTTAAGCGGTAACAGCCATTCCTTGTCTGAGGAGGAGCTTGATGAGTAAGTGTATTTTTAATTTCAGTGCATAATCGCATACATATGTACAAAGAATTATTCGAAGCAAATTTGTTGTAGTCGAATTGGCATGTAAAATTAATGCACGGACTTTACCCCTTCATTAGTAGATCTACCAACTTTTTAGCTATATTATATTTTCTACAATTTTTACCAACAAAGGCTAAAAATCTACCAATAATTTCCGAAAAAAAGCAAAGAGATTTAAATAAACACACATATTTAGCCATCGAACAAACCTTAAATAAAAATGAAAGCTTGACTCTGACGGAGAATAATTGTTTAAATTAATACAGGGTCCAAATCAGGGCATCCGTCATCGAATCAAATTTTATTAGAAATTTCCTTTAAGCATTCGGTAGTGAGTTTGCTTTTTCAAATCAAATTGTATTGGAGAAAAAACAGTGTTCAATTTATTTCATCGATTCGAATCCAGGTTCGTTCGACCACGGAAGCCGTGATTCGGGTCCATTTTCATGTATAGGTTTTTTGTTGAATATTTTATTCTCGTGAAATACAGTTTTGTTGCTTTAAATAAAAATACAATTCATCCAAAGAAGAAATCATATAAAGTGATAGCAGGAGTACAAAAACAAAAATTATACTAAGAAATTTTACGCACTGTGCCACTAAGGATTACAACAAATATATCCTTTTGACATTAAGAACCACCGAGGCGAAAATCCAGCTGCTCTGGTAACACCATCTTTTATGAATTCTTGCTAATCCATTTCCTTCGCCACTATTTATTTCAAATACATTGGCGGGCAAAACTGTAACACTTTTAACTTCAGCCATCGCTACCTTTCCAAGTTCTAACGACTTTCATACTTTTGTTATTTAGTCTTATTAGTACACCTGTACTTGCGTATCTTATAATGATTTGAAGTCAATCCAACATCAATAATAAAACCAGCAGACAAAAATGTAAATATATGCAAATGTTACAGTTCTGCATTTTACGGTTATCTTTTATTTAGTTGGAAGTCAGATGACTTCTTTCTGTATTGTAAACCAGTAAATAATATGGTTGGCATGGCATGGAAAGGCTGGACCATGATAAAAACATATTAAGGTAAAACAGTTCTCTCAATTCGTCGGCCATGATTTTTTTTTTGAAGTTTGCCAACATTTTAAAATCATACAAAATTGAGAGTAAAAAAAAAGGAATTGTTCAAAGTTGTTGTTGGTTGAGATTGAAAACGAGAATGTGTGTGTGAGTTTGTGTATAAAATTTTAAAATTAAATTGTTTGCAAACGTCAAGAATTCAAAAAATTCCTCTCAGCGGTTCTACCTTCCTATTTTTTATCATGGGCTGGACCGCAGGAAAAGTGGTAAAAAATTTTGGAGTTTGCTTCTTGAAAAAGTTAAGACTGAGAAAAAATATAGCCAAAGTTTTCCCAATACATTACACTTACTCAAAGTTACCCTGCAGGGAAACCGTGGACTAGTGAATCAAATTTCTAGTTCCGTACTAGGTCTTTATTGCCAAAAAGCAACTAGTCCGGTAGGAACTAGATCCCCACCAGTCCAAAATCGGCGAAAAGTGGTACTTTTAAGAAATAAATTTTTTCAGTTTTTTTCACTATAAATCTATATCTAAAGTGACGAATTTAGAAATGGTTCGGAACTATAGAAAAAGGGATGCAGAACGAACTAGATCCTATTTGTCGAATTTAGAGCTATTTCGGAACTATCGAATAAGGGATGCAGCGGGGGGCTTGTTTACTTTACATAGATATGTGTTCGGCGGCTTTTTCGTTCAAATACGCTTCTATGCTGTACTTCGCAGATGCTATTTCATAGTTTGGTAATACAAAACAAAGCTTTGTGTTAACATATTAACACCTTGGGCCGGAGTATAACCAATAACAGCGAGCACCTCTACAAAGTCAGCTACAGTAAGGTATGTAAACGTACATTTCTTACAATCATTCAAACAAATTTAATTTCAAATTGAAAAAACCTTTCTTTGAAAATAATGTAAAATCGCACACGGAAGAACCGAAAAGCTAGAAAAACCATGATACTTTTTTCTTTCGTCTGTCGGTTTTAGAACTGGTTCGGAACTATAGAATTTAGGACTAGTTTGGAACTATCGAAAAAGGGATGCAGCGGGGGGCAATTGACACTTCCTAGGACATCGCCATGTTAAATTCGCCAGTTGCTTGCATGCAAAAGAGATTTATCGCGAACCAGTACTGGGTCTAAATGTACTAGAGGCGCCCAGTTCAGAACTAGAGATTTTCTCCACAGGGTAATCAATTAACCTAATTTTCCATTTAATTTGTGACATACTTATATCCATTGGACGTCTTCGAGGATTGAACACTTTGTGGAAATACACAATCCCTAGTTAATATTTAATAATCAGTTTACCAACAAAATAAAATCGTTTACGTTCTACTTAAAAAAATCTAGTTTGTCCAGCAAGCAAACAGATTAAAATTGATCTTAGTGCTGTATTCTCTTGTAGGTTTTACAATTAACGTGCCCTTTAAACACATTTATTCAGAACGAAATTTGTGTTTAAAAGCCAGATAAATTTTAAAACCTATTTACTTGAAAAAACGGGCCTTAAAATTAAAAAAAAAAATAATAATAATTTAATGCTCATAGAAAGCATGAACTCATGCAGGCCGACGAACATTACAAAATGTGTATGTATAATATATATGTATGTACATACGTGTATGTAAAGCTCCTGGCGCCATTGTCTTGCTAAGATTACCCTTTGCAAAGGTAACCTTCACACGTCGTTGATAGCGCCTGTTACTATGCTTCTCATAAAGTACCTACATAGAAAGAACCTAGTAAACCAAACGAACAATATTATAACAAGCTTACCAATGCCAGTGTAAAGCATGAAGCAGCAATTGTTGTCGAAACTGAACCTTCGCACTGGGCGATATTTCAACAATTTAGGTAGACAAAATTATTTATGGATATTTATGGATATCCTTGGCGTATATTTAGTTGGCGAATTATTATGACATTCCCAAAATTTTCATTTGCTGAAATTCGGAATCCTATATTTTCCATCTCCGCGTCAAAAATTTATTTATGAGACCGATGCCATTGGAAGCTTTGAGCTCTCACAGAAAGGGCAAAAAATTGTGGTACACTTTTGTTTACGCCCACGTTTTCTCAGAAATTGCAAAAATTCCAACACAAAATATGATGACATGATGATGATGATGATGATGATGATGATGATGAAATATAAATAAATAAAAAATATATGTTTTGAACATTCATGTAATTATTGTTTAGTTGTTAATGCACTTTAAAGAAAAAAAACTAAAATATGCTCTAGGGTCATTTGACACACATTTTAATTTTATGTTCACCCTTATAAATGTGTGTGAGAAAAAAGGCTAAAACTAGCTGCTGATGTAAGTTTGTGCTTAAGCACTATTGCAGTTCGCTTGTCATATGGTTCATTGGGTATAAATATACTATAAGTATTCATATTACGCATTGAACTTATGTAGTACTTATTTATTTATGCACTTGTGTGCAACAGACAATAGTGCGAGCTGAACAGTTTGTAAACCTGTGAAGTACTCAGCCAATAGTTAAATTGAGTTTCAATCGAAAAGAGATAAACATGTTTAAAATGCATGGGTACATATTAGAGATGGGCGCGGCAAGTCGGGAGCCGCCATACCCACGGTACCGATTTCTAATTGGCCGGGAGGTGCGGTATCGGGAAGGTCTGTAAAAATTTGGTGTGCGGGAACGGGACCAAAATCCTTTCTCGACACTCCCGATAAAACTACAAATTCAGAAGAAAACGATTTATGAAATATGCACTATTTTATGTTTTATTGAGACGAAAACGAACAGCGATGAAGAACCAAAAAATCGGAAGTGGACAGGTATTTCATTATTTTTTATTATTTAAAATGAATTTGAAAGACATGTGCATTTTTCTTAGTGATAGATTTCGGGACCCACAAATTAAATTTTGGGATGGGCGGGATCGGGATTAAATATTTAGTCCCGTGCCCCTCTGTAGTACATAATATACAATGTTATTCATTTACAACCACTAGGAAGTTTTGTTAGATGCTACGACTGTTATTCATGCCAGCATATACATAGAGATGTGTGTATATTTTTGTATGTACTGGGGTGATTGACTCGGTTTTACAAACCAAAAGAGTTTTTATGTTAGTTCTCCTAAAATTCGTGTTCTACTTCTTGATGTGACACAAATGGAGAGACTCCACATCCGAAGAAGCTGTTTTATGGCAGAAGTACACCCGGAGGTTTGTCATTGTCTACCGAGGGGCTACCGCTAATTGAAAAAAAAATTTTATATTGCTCCCGAGGGGCAGCAGGCACATCTAAGCACTCCGCTATGGTAACAAGAGCACTACTCAAGAAGTCGGAAAAACTGCAATAAAATATTAAATAAATTAAAATAATTTTCCATTATTTGTGTTACTTTTGATCAAAAAAAAACTTTAAACTAGTTTTGCTCTGCTCTTTTCTAAATAAAAGCTATCTTTTCTATTAATAGTTTTATTATAATTTTTGGTAATGACTTCAAACAACATAAGCATTTCCAATGTATGAAAACTATGTCAAATGAATCCGATTTATCCGGTTTTTACTTAATTTGAAAATCGGGAAGAGGGTTTTACTCGAATTATAATTTTTCAAGTAACTCGAAAGCCGGTTTTGGAGAAAAGGCGAATAATCGCATACCCATGTATGTACATATTTATATTCCTTTGTAAGTTTGATATGGAGCGCATGAAATTGGTGGCTATAAAATCGAATTTCTGTTTTCTCCACAATGAAGCAATCATAAACCTAGCTGGTGCATATATTCTGGAAACCTAAGATTTCTACCATAATCACCAGTCGAAAAAAATATGTACCACAGTATAGACAGTAACCAACCTTTTTGGGTTGTTGTTGTAGTTATATTCACTCCTGAGGAAGGCACGGGGTTGTGTGCTGCTATTTAATG